ATTCACACACCAACACCACTGCAAACATAAGAGGAGCTTAAAAGAAAGGGCGACGTAACTAGTCATGTTAAGTCTGGTAAAAAATATATGAGACCCACTAATCATCTATCCTACATCTAACTCGAATGCTTTCAAAGCATTTTTAACCTTGGGCCACTGACAAACAAATTTGTGTAACATATTATCAGTTTTGTACTGACCATCACTAAGGTTTATAGAATTCAATTCGCTAATCAAATTTGCTTCAATCAGAAGTCTTTCTATGACACATGATGATTTATACACTTCTAAACTGTTTTCCCAATCTATGGAATGATTACTGTTCTTTAAATGAACGAACAGTGCACTGCTTTCAGATGCTGTTCTAATTTAGTACTTGTGCTTTTAATTCTGAGTTGCAATGCTTTCCCAGTCTGACCTACATCATTTTAATTACAATTGCTACATGGAATACAGTTAACACTTCCATTTCCATTCAAGGTTGGGCTATTCTGAATTAATTTATAAGTAATAGTTGAGTCATACTTAAAAACAACATTAATGTTTAATTATCTAAGAGACTGGACTAACTGGACAAATTCATTGCGATAAGGTAGAGTAAAAATATTCTTAAATGTAGGAACAATGATCAACAAACAATGAAGGGTACCCAAGTTTTTGTGCAATGGACGGAATGTGTTACAGCTCTTCATCAATGAATTCAGGGTCACAAATACGCAAATATCTCAAAAACATAGCAGAAAAAATGACCTTTTGGTAGACTCATGGTGACTCGATAAAAAAATGTAAGAAACTGTCTACCTGTGTAGGCTTTTTGTACACCTTAAATTTATAGTTACGACCATTGTGGATCTACATGAAATATATATATATATATATATATATATATATATATATATATATATATATATATATATATATATATATATATATATTACACTGGGGAACAAAATTCAACTTTTTGTCAGTTGCATACATTTTGAGACCTGTTTCTGGGTAAATTGAGGTCACTGATTTCAAATATGGCACCGGTTTTTTTCTTTCGGGTCTAGTTTTGTTGCGGTGAGTTACCTACCATTTACTACTATATATAGTTAGACTACCATATACTACTGCTAAAAATCTAAACCAGCACACAGAGAGGAATTACCAAACACGTAGAATTAATTTTTAATTACTTTTATTTACCTTGACAAGCATATTTTGGATTCATCAGTTGCTTTTGTGAACTATGCCAGATTTATTCAGGCACAAACTTGCGTTTAATGGACTGTCTTGAATATCGCCTCTCAGTGCAGTCTCGCTGAATGCTCCAGCAATAGTCCGCCATCATGTGAATGTCCCAGCGACCTTGATACCTGTCTTCCATGACTTTGATATCCTGGTGAAAGCGTTCACCTTGCTCATCACTCACGTCCCCCAAGTTTGCCGGAAACAGTTCAAGATGACTGTTCAGGAAATGCATCTTAATGCTCATGTTGCAACCTAACACATGGAAACTTTCCATCAAAGATTCAACGAGCTTTTTATAGTCCTCTGATTTCCTGTTTCCAAGAAAGTTCCTTACAACAGAAACGAATGCTCCCCATGCATTTCTCTCAACATCAGTCATGGATTGAGTGAAGGCTTGGTCTTTAATCAGCGTCCTAATTTGAGGGCCGTCGAAAATACCTGCTTTGAGTTTTTATAGCGTTAAACCAGGGAACACTTCACACAGATACTTAAAACAGTCACTGTCAGTATCGAGCGCCTTGACAAACTGTTTCATAAGGCCCAGCTTGATGTGAAGGGGCGGGAAAACAATTTTTTCACGTTCCACTAGGGGTTCATAAATGATGTTCTTTTCCCCATCATTGAGGCTTTCCCTAACTGGCCATTCCTTCTGAATCCAGTGTCTGTCTTTGGCTCTGCTGTCCCAGAGGCAGATAAAGCAAGGAAATTTTGTATACCCACCTTGCTGTCCTAGCAAAAAATTGACCATTTTTAGATCAACACAGATGATCCATTTGTGTTCTTCATATTTGAGTAGCTCCAAAACCGTTTTGATGTGTTCATATTTTTCTTTCAGGTGTACTGAGTGTCCTATGGGTATTGCGCCAAAGATGTTGCCTATATGTAATAAAACACACTTCAGACTCAGCTTAGAGCTATCTATAAAGAGGCGCCACTCTTTCGGATCATAACCTGGAGCTCCCATCGCGGTGACTAATCCAGAAATATCACAACAGTAGACGAAGTCAAATTTAGAATCAAAGAACTGTAAGAGGTTTTTCTCTGTTGCGAAAGAATGTTACCTTTGTGTCTATTTTCAGCAAGTTTTTATCTTTTAACCGTGAAGCCAACAATTCTGACAGCTTTTTAGACAGACCCAGATCTCGAACTAAGTCATTGAGTTCTGCTTGGCTAAATGTTTGCGGTTCTGTTGATATGCCTGCAAAATCTGAGTCACTATTTCTGTTAGTTGACTCCTCTGTGACCTCAGTGTCATATTCACTGTCAGATTCAACGGAAGCAAGTTGAGTGAAGATAGGCTTTGGAACCTCATCTGAATGGGGCACAGGCCTGATTGCTGAATCTAGACCTGATCTGCACATACGAATGCCATTTTCTGAATCTGTGACCTCAAATCTACCAGAATCAAGTGTCAGAACTCATGCAACCGAAAGTGTGTTCCCCAGTGTTATAGTTCATTCATGTCATGAATGCACATACAGGTAATCGAATAGAAGAAAATGTTTTTGCTATATTATTCCCAAACGTAGTCACCAATTTGTTTTTATTACACATATGCGAAAAATCGTGTTTTTTAAACTACTCTCAAAACTAATTAGATTATTGTTTCTTTTTCCCGTTATTTTTACATTATCGGCTACGAAAAAAAATCAGTATTCATATACTGTACACTGTATAGCATATCGAACTTCATTGCTTAGATCGCAGAGAGTATTTGTAGTTGATAAATAGATACAGTTTTCAGTATTATCGCCATACAAGTTCACATGTTTCAAAGTACACTATACTGCACATGGACTGTGCATCACCAGCTTACTGTTTTAATAATTTTGATCATCGTGTTCTTATTTTCTTACCAATCACTTATCTCATAGTCTCTCCTAACAGTTACTTGATACAACTAGATGTCATCTACATCGCCATTTGTGAGAAGTCGACAAGCCAAGAGCGAGCTTTCACCTTCCTGCAGCAGGTGGCCCAGGAATTCTTCACGCAGTACGGCGACCGCGTCAAGCAGGCGACCAGACCCTACTCCTTCATCGAGTTTGGTGAGTGAAACGGAGAAAAGATTGAGTGAGGCAGAGCGAGAAACAGAGACCTATTCAGGACAGTATACAGGACCGGATTCAGGAGTGGGTAAAGTGGGCCGCTGCCCAGGAGCCTCCACAATCTGGGGGCCTCCACATATCAGGGCAGGTCGAATTGAAACCACATGAATGACTCCAGTCATGTCTCACTCTTGTGTATGTGTGTGTGTGTGCTGAGAATTTGTACACTATCAATAAATATTGTTACGACCGTGTCGTATTTTTCTATTTTTTTTATATAACATGTTGTTCCATATTATTCCTGTAATGATGTGTTAAATTTACTATTATATATTCTAGTCGCCTTACCCTGTGCTGTTAAGGTTTTAACTGTCATTATTTGTTCAAGCCCATCTTATTTCTTTATTTAGTATTGTAACAAGTATTCTTTGTTCTCTACGACCATCTGCATCGTTAAACGACCCACCGGCGGGTCGCGTGGCGGGAGCCGACCTTATATATAGGACCCACCAACTGACGGTGTTAGTTCAGTCCTCTTGTCATACAGTTCACATCCTTTGAGTGACACTCGTCACCTGTTTCTTATACTTAATTTATTTGTGTTGTTCCTGTCGCCACCAATGTGGTATATCTATGTGAGTACCTATTTATGTCCATCAGTATTTGCTTAGTTACATTTAAGTAATTCAGTGTTGGTTTCACGTTAGTTAATTTCAGTGTTAGTTTTTATATGTTTATGCAGTGTTAACGTAGTCCAATGCTTTATTTTTATTCTTTAGATGTTTCGATGTTTAGTATCATTTGTGTCTTAAAAGTTTCGATGGTGAATCAATTTGTTGACAGCCTACGAGGCTCTTTATTGTGTTAATATTTAATTAATTAAATTCTTAAAGGTTTACTTTATTTATTTTTATTCCCTTTTAATTTACGTCACTTTTTTGTTTGGTTACGCCTAGAACCTGGATATTTAAGTAAATTAAGAGACGGCGTAACAATATACAGTTAATTAAAAATTTCTCAATGTTCTAATTTCCTCAATATAACTGCATATGGCTTCAAAATTTTCCAAAGAAGTGTTCAAATTTCAAAATTTTCCCGGGGGGCTTACAGCGCCCCCCCGGAACTCTCAGATATTAAGGCTCGCTTCACTCGTCACCCCACCCTCTTGGGTAGTTATAATGAGGGGGGGCCTCCACAAAGAGGCTGCCCATGGGCCTCCACAGGTCTAAATCCTGCACTGACAGTGTACAGAATTTTTATATGGTATCGGTGTATTGGTCTTAGGAATAATTAACCTTCATGAAGACTGTATCTTAATGATAAAATAAAAGGTAAAATCTAACCTCTTAAACAAGTGTACAGCAACACAGAAGGGTACGGAATTCTGGGAAGTGTCCCAGCGTGGATCGGGGAGTTTCTCCACGAAATCGTCATGTGTACCTTTGACAAGCGGGGTACCACATAGCAATGTAATAGGCCCGTTGTTGTTTGTTTTATGAATGGCATGCTAGAAGCTATACACTCCTCCATACAAATGTTTGCGGACACATCCTACACCAACAGAAACAACTCATCCTACACCAACAGAAACAGCAACTCTACACCAACAGAAACCACAACACATCCTACACCAGCAGAAACAGCAACTCTACACCAACAGAAACAACAACACACTCCTACACCAACAGAAACAACAACACCACTCTACACCAACAGAAACAGCAACACCACTCTATACCAACAGAAACACTATAGGAATATATGAGCCTTAATTGACAGCATATCGGTGTTCAATTCTAGCCACCTCCTTGTCATGGGGGACTTTAACTATGGCTACATCGACTGGAGAAATGAAACCACGCCAAATGTCCTTAATAATCCCGCTACTGTAGGTGCGAGCGATCCATGTACAGAATATATTGATAACCACATATGAAACAAGCATATATATTTATATGTATATATATACTGTGTGTGTGTGTGTGTGTGTGTGTAATAATAATAATAATAATTAACGGTTTATTGAAAAACTTGTGCAGCCCGAGGGCTGAAAATATACATTGGACAAAAATGACTTATTACATTCAAAGACATGGGGTGGGTGGGTCGTTTAACAAAAGCTTTCAATACTGAAAGAAGAGGGAACATGAATTGAACATACAAATTATTTTAGTTTACAGTTGATGACCGGGGCATGGGCTGGTCATTTTTTTTATTTATTGGGCACCCCCTACATCCTTGTGTAAGGTGAAGCACAGGAGCGTTTACAGCACCCAACAGGGAAGCATGCTAAGTTCATGCTTGCCTTATGTCCGATGAGTTAAGGGCATAGAAGCCTGAAGAGTCAATAGTTTTTTATGTCTAAGCAAGTTATTGGAAGCTCCAACAACTTGTCCCTGAATACGAATTCGTAACTTTCGATTTATAGCAAGTACCTACTTTGCTGCTAGGTGAACAGGAACCAGGGGACTAGGAAAAGTGTCCAAACAACTTCCGCTGGCCCGGGAATCGAACCCGTGACATCTTGCTTGCGAGGCAAGAGTGGTACCGTTCCACCAGCACCCCCCAGGCTGGTCATTGAGACACCAGGTGGTGTGGTGTTCACATGGTGTAGTAACTCGTCCACGGATGTTGATATAAGAACATAAGAAAATAAGGAGTCTGTAATAGGCCGGTTGGCCTGTGCATGGCAGCTCCTCTCGAGAGTTACTACCACTCTCTATCATCCATGAATCTATCTAGCCTCCTTTCAAAACTTTCCAGCGTTCCAGCACTTACTACAAAGTTGCTAAGCTTGTTCCACTCGTCCACCACCCTATTTGTGAACCAGTTCCTTTCTATCTCCCTCCTAAACTTATCCAACTTAAATCCGTTGCTACGAGTCCAATCCTGCTCGGATATTATAAAAACTTTATCTATATCTCCTCTATTGATTCCTTTCACCCACTTAAATACTTTTATCATATCTCCCCGCACTCTTCGTCTTTCTAGGGAATGCAAGTTTAGTTTCTTTAACCTATCCTGATATGGATGGTTTCTAAGTCCCGGAATCATATTCGTCGTTCTTCGCTGCACCGACTCCAGTGAATTGATATCCATTCTATGATATGATATGAAGGACCTCACGTGGTCATGGAGACATCGGGTGGTGTGGTGTTCACGTGGTGTAGTAACTCGTCCTCAGGTGTTGATATGAAGGACCTAACGTGGTAAAAAAAAAAAAGTGAATACCCTCCCAGCCACACAAGGACCTGGAAGGGCTCACTAATTCCATCGCAGTAAAAAAAAAAATATATATAATAAGCAGGACTATATAAATAAACCAATATTAATACAAAGGTCTGACGACCCAAGGGAGCAAAACAAAGATAAAACACCAATAGGAAAGATGAAGTGATCTGGTTGAGCCCAGATTCTTTCTACTCCTGCTGTATTTCAGTTTCACCACTTTTTCTTCAACCCCTAATAATCTTCTTTCACCTCATAACTCATGACTCCAAAGCCAAGCGACACCGGGTGGTGTGGTGTTTACGTGGTGCAGTGCCTTGTCCTCGGGTGTTGATATGAAGGACCTCACGAGGTCATGGAGACACCGTGTGGTGTGGGGTGGTGTTACAGTACCTCACTCTCTCTGCTCGGTGATGTGTTATCTCCTAGTCAGGTGCATAGCCGGTCTGCTATTGTTCCCAGGGTGGACGGATTAACACCATCTGGTCAGAGGATGATTCCCAGGGGTGTTTATCTCACTGGTGGGTCACGGCTCTCACTGGTACTGTCTAGTGCTGAATTCACTGGCTTAAACACTGTTCATCACTGTTCCACACTGATCCCACTTCTTTCCGAAACGAAATTGTCACTTTTGATTATGTTGATATCTCGGTGGTGAGGATGGGTCGGGGAGAGGGACTTGGGGAAGGGGCCAACATGGCAAAGTGGGGCAGCTGCACAACAGGAGCAGTGCTTGACAAGGTCTTGACCCTACGGTGGTCAAGGATATGTGTGTGTGTGTGTGTGTGTGTGTGTGTGTTTATGTTTATACGCCTAAGCACAGCTCCATACTGTAATAAAGTTACCAGTTATTTCCAACAAGACCTCTTGCTCCTGCAGATACCACTCTGCAAAAATTGCGTCGGTCGGCTGGGGGACGCAGAAGGGTGTTCGGGATGACCAGCCTTCAGTCTGAGCTGCAGGACGTCCACACCATTTTCAGGGACAACATAGACAATGTTCTGGAGCGCGGTGTCACTCTCTCAGGTTAGTCACAATTTACAGATAGTGAATGGGGTAACTTCGGTGTATTAATTAACATTATCCTAATTTTCATTACGTATCACCTTACTTGTTCGGGCATTTGGTCGGTTCTTTGTTACTTTGTTATGAACTTTATTGCCAGATTAGCCGGAGAAACCTGCGACATATGGTAGGGTGACTCTAAGGGGCATACAAAACTGAATTGAATGATGCTGCTGGGAGAAATATTATCGAGTGCAAGAAATGGTGAATACAGGTGAACGTATTGTTTATGAAAGTCTTGAGTCAGGGGTTAAATATATTTGTTAAAAATACTGTATGGATTATTTATCAAAGCTAATACAGTACTTGTATTGTACGGAGATGATTGATTGCCTTAAGGAAGAAAGACTTTGGCGTGTTTCTTAAAACTGATTACTACAGGTGTGAAAATATGTCATTGAATAATGTACTAATATAGTATTAATATTTTTAAAAAGTTCAGTAAGGTACACTTAAGAGCCCATACATGCCTGCCTGGTACAGTACTTGCCTGACCGACTGGTAGACTAGTGAAAAACAGGAAAAATTTAAATTAAGAATTTTAAGGAGAGTCGGATCTGTAAAAATGAAACTCTGGAAGATGAAAGTGGAGCAGTGTAAAATGTAGAATTTGTAAGTGCATTGGAATGAGTTGTGGGAATTACCAAGTAGAGTTTCTTGCACTGTAAGAACAAAAGGCACAAAATGATCGATTGATTGAAGTTTGTTAAATAAAAATCATTAAATAAGATTCAAAATAGGTTCACTGTGCAGTTGGCAAACAGTATACAGGTTTATCAAAGGCGCACCCATATTTCCAACGTTTAAAAAGCCAAAAACATCTGGACACAGGTTGATAATTTCGAGAAAAGGTATATTTTTTAACTGTTACACTCCCTGCTACTTTTAACACATCTAATGAATCATTTAGCCTTTTGGATACAACAAAACTTAATATTATTATAGTTCCGATCATCATTTCGGCAGATCTGGAAGGCAAAGGATCGGGCTTGAGAGTGTTGTCGCAGGAGTATCGCAAGGACGCCCAACGCCTTAACCTGCGAACATTCTACACTAAGGCCGTGGCTGCGTCAGTCATCGCCCTTGTTTTGATTTTCTATTTCTTTTTTTTGTAGACACTTTTTAGGTGACATTTTTTGTATAGTTAATTTCTGAAGGTTCTTTGTGGTGGAAACCACTAAAAGTACTTTTGTAAATTAACGAGAAATTTATATTTGTGTGTGGTTATAGGTGAAAATTATTTATATTGTAGATTTAAAAGTCTTGTGATACTGAAAAGAGGATGATATATTATTTGTAAAAACAAGTTATTTGTACTGCAGTGCAGTATTATGTTTTATATAAATAAAACTCACATCTGTATGCACTGATTGTTGATCAGACCACAGCTTACAACCCAGAGAATTACAACACATATAGCAGTAAGTAGATGCCCTCGTGGTAACCCACATACCAAGTCGACACACCCTACAGTCCCAGGAGACCTGACCTCCGCCACTAATTACTTGAGTTAGCCAGGTGATATGACCTACAACCACACCTTGCCAAGAGGTCATTCGCAGGCTGGTTCTCCTCCATAAAAAGGCCCTGCAGTCCCGTCCATGGGTCATTCCGCCATTCTTGTCATTCTTGTCTGTCATTCTATTCATTCACCCATTGCTCCAGACTTCACTGTCACGTCACTATCGACAGAGGACAGAGTCACGCTCGTCCTCCCTCAGGTCGGGAGGGAGACTTCCTCCCCGACCCCCGCGTCACCAGCTAAGCAGAGTCTCCCATAGGAGACAGTCCAGAAGCACCTGCTGGGCCTCCCTCAGGTTACACGAGTCGCTATCCATAGGGTGAGTTACTTATGGTGGGAAATGTATTCATTTTATGTTTGTGTCCGAGAGTCAGTGTCTAGTAACATAAATATGATGTTCTAGTAAATTCGATATAATATTGATATTAATGAGTCTGTGTCACTGAGTGAATAATAAATAGCTGTACTTTTGAGAGGTGGTTTTTGAGAAGATGTCCCCTAAGGTAATATAAGTGAAAGTAACTAGCCGGTAACGCTATCTACTTCCTTCACTATACGACTCTACTACTATAAACTCCTACTTAACCTCTTCATGAGTTTTTGACTCATTACAATAGTCTTGAACTGAATAATGCAAATTTAATTCATTTCAAGGACTCTCAAAAATAAAACAATAAATTTACATTTAAATTACAATACTTGAAGAATTATAAAAAAATTAATCCATTTGTAGGACATCCTGTTTGCACAGTTGTCCCAGCAGTAGGTATATTGTATATTTTGCTTATCACCTACTCCTTTAAAAGGTACATGTTATCAGGGTATTGTAGGAGATACTCTTCCCTACAACTGCCACTGCCGTCAGTCGCTGATCAGCCGATCTCGCGGCAAAGTTTCTCTGACAATTCCAGTCGTCTAGACTCGCAGTGGGAGGGGGGAGGGGGGCCGACACCGGCGACGCTTACTTCCGGTTTTACTTCCGGTGGACGTGTATATAAGCTCACAGCGTCGCCGGGAAATTAATTTCTACCAAGAGCTCTACAACACACAACATCTCCTTCAAAGAAGCTCCTGCACAGCAACTCCTCTACTATGCAGCAACTTCCCAGCACCAGACTATTTTGTATATAATATATTTATATAGAGAAAACGCCATAGATGAGTTTCCCTTCTCACCCTCATCCTATGTGTGATTCAACGTCACGAAACCCCACAGTAATATTTTTTTTTTTTTTTAAAGAGCATCTTTATATTTTGTACCTATTTTTCCACATATTCTCCCAATACGAATTTTCTTATTCTTGTGAAAAATTAACTTGGCTGACTTGGTAACCAATTTTTTTATTTCTTTCTTCACCTCCTCATTATTCGAAAAATGCTTTCCATATAAACCTGTTTTGGCCAGAAAACACATGTGGTAGTATGATGGTGCGATGTATGGACTATGTGGAGTTCGTAGGTTTTCCAAAAAATTCTGTTCAATGTTCTGGTGTAATGTGTGTGTTGAAATTTCGACAGGTCATCCAACATGAGTTTCGTCCACAGCACACCCTCTCCCGCCACACCCCACCCTCTCTCGCCACACCCCACCATCGCCCTCCACACCATACCCTTGCACTTCATACCCTGCCCTCACCCCCCCACATTCCACTCTCGCCTCCCACAACCCACCCTGGCCCTCCACATCCCACCCTTGCCCTCCACATCCCACCCTTGCCCTCCACATCCCACCCTTGCTCTCCACATCCCACCTTCGCCCTCAAAAATCCCACCGTCGCCTCCTCATCCAAACCTCGCCCTACACATCCCAACCTCACCCTCCACATCCCACCCTGGTCCTCCACATCCCACCCTGGCCATCCACATCCCACCCTCGCCCTCCGCATCCCCCCTCGCCCTCCACACCCCACCGTCGCCCTCCACATCCCACCCTCTCCCTCCAAATCTCATCCTGGCCCTCCACATCCCACCGTGGCCCTTCATATCCCACCCTGCCCTTCATATCCCACCCTAGCCATCCACATCCCACCGTCGCCTTCCCATCCCACCGTCCACATCCCACCGTCGCCTTCCACATCCCACCGTCGCCTTCCACATCCCACCCTGGCCCTCCACATCCCATCCTGGCCCTCCACATCCCACCCTGGCCCTCCACATCCCACCCTGGCCCTCCACATCCCACTGTCACCCTCCACATTCCACCCTGGCCCTCCACATCCCATCCTGGCCCTCCACATCCCACCCTGGCCCTCCACATCACACCCTGGCCCCTCCACATCCCACTGTCACCCTCCACATCCCACCCTGTCCCTCCACATCCCATGCTGGCCCTCCACATCGCAACCTCGCCCTCCACATCCCACCCTGGCCCTCCCATCCCACCCTGGCCCTCCACATCCCATGCTAGCCCTCCACATCGCAACGACCTCCACATCCCACCCTGGCCTCCACATCCCACTGTCACCTCCACATCCCACCCTGGCCATCCACATCCCATGCTGGCCTCCACATCGCAACCTTGCCCTCCACATCCTACCCTGGCCCTCCACATCCCATGCTGGCCCTCCACATCCCACCCTGGCCCTCCACATCCCACCCTGGCCCTCCACATCCCACCCTGGCCCTCCACATCCTACTGTCACCCTCCACATCCCACCCTGGCCCTCCACATCCCATGCTGGCCCCCTCCACACGCAACCTCGCCCTCCACACCCCACGTCGCCCTCCACATCCCACCCTGGCCCTCCACATCCCACTGTAGCCCTCCTCATCCCACCCTGGCCTCCACACCCCACCGTAGCCCTCCACATCGCAACCTCGCCCTCCACATCCCACCCTGGCCTCCACATCCCATGCTGGCCCTCCACATCGCAACCTCGCCCTCCTGTAGCCTCCACATCCCACCCTCGCCCTCCACATCCCACCCTGGCTCTCCACATCCCACTGTCACCCTCCACATCCCACTCTCGCCCTACGCATCCCAACCTCGGCCTCCACATCTCATCCTGGCCCTCCACATCCCAACCTTGCCCACCACATCCTAGCCTCGCCCTCCACATCCTACTCTCGCCCTACGCATCCCAACCTTGCCCTCCACATCTCATCCTGGCCATCCACATCTCACCCTTGCCTTCCACATCCCACCCTTGCCCTCCACATCCCAACCTCGCCATTTCACAAAGTCAGATAGTCTTTTGTTTCTAAACGGACTATACATATTTTATGAAGGAGTGTGTGCTTGTGTGTGTAAAAGAGTAATTTATTTATATATACAGTCTATATATTTGTGCGGTATATCAGGGTATATATATGTGTGTCAGGGTATATTATTGTATAAGGGAGAATTTTTAGCGACGATTTGGTGAAGATGGTGAAGTGGACGTCTCCCCTACAACTGCGTAGCCGCATTCGAATGCCACAGTATCCTAGCAACCAAACGAGCGGCCCAGGGGGGGGGGTGTAACCAGATGCCACAGTATCCTAGCAACCAGCCATCTGCTACGTCTTCCCTAGCAAAGGAGTCGAGAAACCGGCGAGTTCCCACGGGTTTTACTTCCGGCTGCTGGGTATATAAGCTCTGTCTCTCCATTGAGATTCATTCTGGCCTCGGTTTCTGAACACGCAACACCTCCTCCTCCGCCGCTGCCTGGCAGCCCTCGCTTCTCCTCCGCCTGCCTGGCGGTCCTCGCTCCCGCCGGCGAGCATGGCGACCCACCAGCTGTCCTTCTCTGAGCGTCCTCACCAACCAGCTCTCTGATTCTACTCTACGTTCCTGAACACGCAACACCTCCCCAAGCAAGCTCCTCGCTGTCCAGCTCTCATTCAACCTGGAGGCCAGCAACAGGCAACATCTCCTCTAACGAAGCTCCTGCACATCTACCTCCTTCAGCACGCTACTCACCGAACGTGTCTACTGAGCAGCTCCTCACCACACGGCATCTCCAGCACCAGACTGTCTACCATATAACTTATATTATATAAGAAAACCACCACCTTAGAGTTTCCATCCATCCTGAGTGCTAGACAACATAATATCACGAAACCCTACAATGGTCTTGATGATATGACGATCTGCTGTTGTTTCTCGTAGTATTAAGATTACATGTATCTGTTTGTCTTTTGGAGAAGTGACCCATTGATTGTTTTTAGTTTGTTTTTTACTTTTAGATGCGTTTAGAGATAGTTTATTAAAAAAAAAATTATCTGATTTCCACACGGTGTCTTGTTCACGACCAACATGAAACGGTTGTGCAGAAATAAGAAAATATAGTGTTTTTTTGGATGTGTTAGGAAACATATGTGGTACTGTGAATAAAAATCAAAATTTTATACTACGTGTCTTTGAGAGAACCAAAACAGAAGTGTAGAGGAAGAAAAATGTATATAGAAGATTCACCACACATAGAAAATGATAATTGGAGAAAAATAAAATGCGTAGAATTTGTCAAGTGAAGGAAATAGGAACGTATGAAGAAAACAAATCAAGTGTTGAAACAGATGGAGGAAGATAAACATAGAAAATAAGATATGAAGCAAAAACGTGATGTGTATTTTCTTACAACTATTTTTTATTTTGGTCTCTTGTAATTTTGATATTTTCTGTTGTAGTTAAATAGAATAAAATTTTAAATGACGAGATGTGTAGTAGAGATGTATTCGAGAGATGCGTTGGAGAGATATGACAAATATGAAATAGTGAAGAAAAAATAAAGATATATTCAGTGATTCAATTAACCTTAGAATAATCCTGTTTCCTTAAGGTTATATTTAAGTCACTTTATGAGACTGTTTTAGCTATATTAACCTGTAGATATATAAATTGTTTCTGGATTATTAAAGTATTTATAACGCCTGCCGCTCAAGAGTAGCCAGTGGCCTACTTTCTGTCGTCACGGTCATCTTACCTGTGTGTGTGAGGTGCAAGTATACCTTTGAGATAACTGAGGTGTGACGGATCACCTGAAGATTAACCACCCTAACCTAACTAACCTAACCTTAAGTAATGTAACCTAACTTAATCAGTCTAACCTAACCTAATCAACCTGACTTCACCTAACCAACCCGACCTAACCTAACTTCACTCTAACCTAATCTAATCATCCCTAAGTAGCATTAAATTAACTAATCTGGAGTTGAAATAAGCTTGGGGTGCCTAATCTTCAGGTCATCCGAGATAACTTGTACATAACGTTCTCTGCACTTCAATATAACCACGCCAATGTGATATGTCGTAATTATGTTGAAAGTTCCGCAACACGTCATTGGTGTCCATTAAAGTGGTCAGTGATGGGCCGACTCTTATTATTACACCTTAAATCTCTCTCTTCTCTCCTCTCCTCCGTGTGTCTGTTAGCGGAAGGCAGAGACTAGGATGGCTGATTGAAACTAAAAACTAGGTCCCCAAAGAGATTCAAAATGTTGTAGCATTGGTAAAAAGAACCTAAAAACGTTTAGAGTGGAGGAGTGTGGTCGCCAACCCCCAGATATGAGGACGATACTCTGAGTAGCCAACAGTTCGTAACAGTGAGCCAGTACATGCCCACAGTGCCAACAGTGCCTAACAGAGACATGAACGACCTCCCAAACGGCTAACAGGCTGATCAGTGGCGAGCAGGATAAAATAAAATAAAGTACACCAAAGTAAAATAATTGCTACAGGGACGGTGGCACCCCTAGGGGCTCTTCCAAGGATAACAGCGCTCCCTGGTGCCCTTCCAGGGACGGCGGCGCCCGCATGGACCCTTCCAGGGGCGGTGGAGCAAGCCAGGGCGCTTCCAGGGACAGCGGCGCTGCCAGGTGCTCTCCCAGAAACAGCGGCGCCCTAGGGGTCCTCCCAGGGAGGGTGGCACCAGCAGAGACCCCGCTAGGGGCGGTGGCGCCCTCAGGGGCCTTGCCAGAGGCGGTGACGCCCTCAGAGGCTTTGCTAGGGGCGCTGGCGTCCTCAGAGCACTTGCAAGGGGCGCTCGCTCCCCCACGGGCTATCCCAAAGACAATGGCACTCCCAGGGGCCTTCACTGCGACAGCGACGCCCACAGGGGTCATACAAAGGACAGTGGAGCTAACAGAGGCGACGCTGACCTCAGGGACCCTACCAAGGGTCCCCAGGGTCCCTATGGCATGCTTGTCCGTCATGTCATATATATTACATACGTCCAGCAGTCCCTTACTTAACTCTGATTGGTGGACTATTCTTTTAACCCGCCAAATTACAGCCAATAGGAGCAGAGAACAGTCAGTCAGTACAACACCCAACTTATGTTTTCCTGTTGGATATTATTCTTCATTACCTTCTTCAGAATGCGAAGATACTGGAAATGTGATGGGCGGCGGTGTAGTTGTTTAACGTTGCTTCTCCCAGAGCCTAAATAGCGTAAAAACTACAGCTACTAGGGGCCGTCCTAGGGACAGGAGCACTCCTAGGGGCCGTGCTAGGGCAGTGGAGCTAACAGCAGCCCTTCCAGGGGCGGCACTGACCTCAGAGACCGTACCAAGTGTCCCCAGGGGTCCTATGGCATGCTTGTCCGTTGTGTCATAAATATTACATACTTCCAGCAGTCCCTTTCTTAACTGTGATTGGTGGACTATTCTATTAGCCTGCCAATTGCAGCCAATAGGAGCAGAGAACAGTCAGTCAGCACAACACCTCAGCTTATGTTTACCTGTTGGATATTATTCTCCATTACCTTCTTTAGAATGCAAAGATACTGGAAATGTGATGGGCGGCGGTGTATTTGTTTAACGTTGCTTCTCCCAGAGCTCTAAATAGCGTAAAAACTACTGCATCCAGGTGCCCTCCCAGGGATGGGAGCCCTCCCAGGGGCCCTCTCAGGGACGGGGGCGCTCCCAGAGGACGTGCCAAGGGCGGTGGCGCACCGAGGGGGTCTCACTAGGACAGCAGCGCACCCAGGGGCCCTCCCAGGGACGGCAACGCCCTCAGGGGAACTCCTAGAAACGGCAGCGTTCCAAATGGTTCTTGCCAGGGGTGGTGGCGCCCCCAGTGGTCCTTGCCAGAAACGGTGGCGCCCTCAGAGGCCATGTCCGGGGCGCTGGCGCCCTCAAAGGACTTGCAAGGGGTGCTGGGGTCCCCACGGGCTCTCACAAGGACAAGGGTGCTCCCAGAAGCCCTCCTGGGACAGAGACGCCCACAGGGGTCATGCAAGGGACAGTGGAGCTCACAGGGGTGATCTCAGCGACAGTGGGGCACACATGAGCCCTCCGAGGGACAGCAGCACTCCCAGGGGCCTTGCCACTGACAGCGTAGCTCCCAGGGATCCTCCCAGGGGCGGCGCTGACCCCAGAGGCCGTACCAAGGGTCCCCAGGGGCCCTAAGGCATGCTTGTCCGTCGTGTCATATATATATATCAAACTTCCAGCAGTCCCTTACTTAACTCTGATTGGTGGACTATTCTTTTAACCCACCAAATTAAAGCCAATAGGAGCAGAGAACAGTCAGTCAGCACAACACCCCAACTTATGTTTTCCTGTTGGATATTATTCTCCATTACCTTCTTCAGAATGCGATGATACTGGAAATGTGATGGGTGGCGGTGTATTTGTTTAACGTTGATTCTCCAAGAGCGCTAAATAGCGCAAAAACTAGAGTAACTAGGGGGAGTCCTAGGGACGGGAGGGCTCCCAGGGGCCGTGCCAGGGACAGTGGAGCTAACAGCAGTCTCCAGGGGCGGCACTGACCCCAGAGACCGTACCAAGTGTCCCCAGGGGTCCAATGGCATGCTTGTCCGTCGTGTCATAAATATTACATACTTCCAGCGGTCCCTTACTTAACTGTGATTGGTGGACTATTCTTTTAACCCACTAAATTACAGCCAATAGGAGCAGAGAACACTCAGTCAGCACAACACCCTGTCAGCACAACACACCAACTTATGTTTTGCTGTTGGATATTTAATCTCCCTTTTCATTGTTCAGGTTGCGATAATACTGAAAATGCTATGGGCAGTGTGTATTTTATTTAACGTCATATCTCCCAGAGTTTAAATAGTGAAACGAGAATAAATATCCAACAGCAAGGCATAAATTGGGG